CCGACCATGGACTGAACCCCCTGAGCCCCTTGGAATAGCTGACCATGGACTGAACCGTCTGAGACCACTGGAGCAGCTGACCATGGACTGAACCCTCTGAGATCATGAGCCCAATACAACCCCTCCTCTTCCGTCACCTGACTCAGGAAAGAGGATCCAAGCTGAGAACGCCGGCTGGGTCACCTTGACCGTGTAGTTTGTCACAGTGCACAAGGACATCGTGCTGTAGTGGCAGTACTTGTCATATGCCTGAGGGAGACACCAGGAACATGGAGAGGATGCAGACAAGAGTTCATCTGGCCACTGAATCAGCTGGGCACTGACCGGCTCTGGTCGACCCCAGGGAGCGACCAAAGCATCTGGATTGCTAGGCGTGGTCGCACACACCTGGGACTCCCGCACTCAGGAGGCTGAGGCAGGGGGATCCCCATGAGTTCGAAGCCACCCCGGACTACAGAGTGAGTTCAAGGCCACCTGGACTATATAGCAAAACCCTGTCTCAAAAAACTCCCACCAAGACCAAAACAAAAAAAAATAGTGGCTGCTTTAAGCTAAGTCCAGGTAGCCCTGTGGTCCAGTGAAAGCCGCAGACACAAAGTCAGATGCTACACATATATACGAGTGAAAACTCGAAATGAAAACTATTTGACTTCTACAAAACCCTTCGTGAAAGTATCTCCTGTCACAAGGAACCCTGAAATAGCCGGGTGCTGTATGTCAGCCTAACTCTTTAGGAGGCTGAGACAGGAGGATTTCAAGTTCAAGGCCCTCCCGGGACAACTTGATGAGACTTTAATCTCAGGATAAAATATGAACACGGCGGCGGGTGTCGCTCAGTGATAGCGTGTTTGCCTTGCTCGGGAAAAGCCCTGGATTCAGTCCACAGCACTGTGAAATAAATAATTAACTGGCAGAAAAGGAACATAGGGAAATCTACTTTTCTAGGGATTAGGGTAATAAAAGTCATCGCGATGCAAGAGATGGGACCGTGATGAAGGGCTCCGTGGAAGCTGACACCGCGGCCTCCCGCCCTGCGTGTGGGTGTGGCTTTTCCCTGGCCGGCGCTCCGTAGGCATCCGTCATGGTGTCCGAGGTACCGTGTGTCTGAGGAAGACACGGGACCGGAAAAGACCGCAGTCTGGCCGAGCTCCTTTTGTTTTATGTCCCGGGGATTGAACCCAGGGCCTTCACCCTGCGCTCCAATCCCAGCCCTTCTTGGTTTTTGTTTTGAGGCAGGATCTCACCAAGCCCCTAAGTTGCCCAGGCTGAGCTCAAACTTTAGATCCTCCTGCCTCAGCCTCCCAGAGTGTGGGGATTACGGGTGTTGCCACTGCTGCCCACACCACACGTGGCTGGACCCTTCCCCTCTCTCTCTGTCTCTGTCTGTGTCTCTCTCTGTCTCTGTCTCTGTGTGTCTCTGTCTCTGTCTGTCTCTGTGTCTGTCTCTGTCTGTGTCTCTGTCTCTCTGTCTCTCTCTCTCTCTCTCCCTCCTCCTCCTGTCCCCCCCCTTTCCACCCTAGAAATGGAAGCCAGGCCTCCTGCCGAGAAGACCCTCACCGCTGAGCTACCTGCTGTCCGCATTTCAGTATCCTCAAAACCTGCCCTGTGCTTTCCTCAACACCCTTCCGGTCAGGAGGAATGTCTAGATCGTAGCATATTGGATTTACCCTGACATTTGTTGTATAATAAGAATCCAACCTAATCTTGTTTCCTCTTGGAGTCTATGGAAGGCCTGAACCCTGGAAGTGCCAAACCTGCGGATGGACAGGGCAGACCTGGGGTTTCATGTGGGCCAAGTTGTGTTCCTGGGTGTTTGTTGATTGACTCTCTGACCCCAGGACCTCAGGCTGCAGCTGTGTTTTGAGAGAGTCTTAAAGAGCCAGTGAGGGTAAACTGAGTCCCCAGGGTGGCCCCGACCCCAGGGCTGGGTCCTCCTGAGCAGAGGATGGAGGACACGGACACACAGAGGGACGCGCCTGTGAGGACACGGAGCCCAGGAACAAGGCCTGGGAGGAGCGTGCGCTGCCCACACTGGACCTGGGGCCTGCAGCTCCGGGACGGGATGGGAGGCGTCCTCAGTCAAAGTCACCTGGTCTGAGCCCGCAGCTGGGTCGGCAGTGGGACCCAGTGGCTCTGACCCCGACTTGCGTCCACCCGGATGGAGCCCGGGCTGGGTGCTGGGGACTCGCTTTACCATGAGGCAGGTGCTGCCGTCTTTGAAGCACTCGATGCCCGACGCATTCCCGAGCAGGTCCCAGGTCAGCCTCCTGCTGCCCGGCTCTACCCGGAGGTTCCCGATGGGCACACCAAGCTCTGCAGGGAGGGACTGGGGTTAGGAGCTTGGGGCCTTCTCCAAACACAGCCGGCACGCAGGAGGCTGAGGCAGGAGGATCGCTGCGAGCTCCAGGCCAGCCTGGGCTCCATAGCGAGGGCCTGACTCACACAACCCACATAAATACGGTAACATAAAGTTTTTAAAAACCACACAAAGATAAAGCACAAAGACCCACCCGAGCTTGCTGAAGCCAGCACCAAACCCTCCCTCAGGCAAGGTGAAGCGGCAGACTTCTGCTGTCTGGGTCCATTATCAGGGCCCGCAGCTTTGCTCAGGAAGCAAGACCAGGCTGAGGAGCGCATCCGTGTGGGGCTGGGTTTTCTCCTGACTTAGGAGGGTGTCTCCTAGAAACCCCCCGGGCAAAGTTCTCGGGGTTTTTCATCATTCGCATTTGGGGGCTTTGTTTGCATTCCTTCTGGAAAACTTTGTATACGTGCGACGGAAGCTTTCAGGGCCTTCTGCGGTCTCTTTTCCTTTCCTTGGTTTTGAGACGGGGTCTGGCTGGCTCGGCACCTTGCCCAGGCTGGGCTGGAACTGGAGATCCTCCTGCCTCAGCCTCCCAGAGTGCGGGGACCACAGGCGAGCCCAGGATTCCGTCCCCCTGCGCCCGGCCTCGCCCCCTTCCTCAGCCTACTTAGCGACAGCTTTGCAGACCCGGACTCCAAGTCCGGCCGCACCCCGAGGTCCGGCGGTTGGGATCCCGGCCTGGGACATCGGGGATCAGCGGCGGAGTCCAGCGCAGCCCTGTGATCCTTTCGGTTTCCCGGAAGGTAGGAAAATGGGAAACGCGCACAAAACCATTTCCTGTCGCGAGGGGGCCGGGCCTGCAGTTGTGACCGCACACACGGCCAGTTCCCGTCACGCTGGGCCGTGGGCGGGGCCTCCACGCAATGTGCCTCGGGAAGCGCCAGCCCCCAACCCGCACCCGAGCCTACCCGGGGCGGCCGGACGCGGGCAGCAGGCGGGCGGCAGCAGCAGCAGCAGCAGCGGCGGCGAGAGCCACGGGCCTGGCATGGTGCTGTCGCTCCAGACACGGGACGCCTGCGGAGAGGGCACAGTGAGCTCACGGGTGGACACTGCATGCGTGCGGGCGAGCGGATACGGCCACAGTGCAGCTCGGCGCCGTGCGTCTGTGCAGCTGCGTGTACTGTGTGCAGCTGCGAGTGTGCGCGTGCGTCCTGTCTCCACATGTATGTGTGCGTGTGTGCGAGTGTATCATGTGTGCGTGGGTGCGCACGAGCACATCACCGTGTTAACACTCCTATGTGTGCATGTGTACGCGTGCTTGTGAGCGCCAGGGTGTGTACGCGGTGCAGTGCACATGCGTGTGCTCCCGAGTATGCACGCACGCAGCTATATGAGCGTCTGACGTCTGTGTGGCTCTGCGTTAGCCTCCGTGTGTGAACGTGCAGGTGTTGCCCGGGCACATCTGTGTGAGCACGCGTGTGCACGCGTCCTTGTGCATGTGTCCGTGGGGACTTCTGTGTGCACACACGCATGACCTCACGGTGCTCGCACGGCTGTGCTGTGTGCATGCACGTGTGTGTAGGCCTTCTGTTTGCACACAGGGGTGCGTGTTCGTGCGTGTGCGCACACACTGTATTCCCGTGGGGGCAAAGCTGCGTCTTGTGAGTGTGCACGCATGTGTGTCCCTGCGCCCTCACGTGCACCTGCAGGACAAAGCCCGCGACCTCCCGGGTCTCCCTGAGGCCGCCGCTCCCTCCGGGGCCTGGCGCCAGCGCTGGAGCCAGCGGGGAGGAAGCCGCCCCCCGCTGCCCTGGCAGAGCCTCTTCCTGCCGGCCCGGGCAGTGCCGGGAACTCAGTGCAGCTGCAGGTGCAGCTGGGGACCGGCCCGGCAGGGCTGCGAACACCCTGACTCCAGCCTGGGCCGACGCCGGCGGCCGGTGCCTTCCTGGGGCCCCGCACCCCGGGACTGGACCCCCCCCCCGCCGCTGGGACGCAGGGGGCGCTGCAGAGCCCGCGCCCAAAGTCCAGCCGCGGGGAGCCAGTCCTGTTAAGGCTCCAGGACTTCAGCACCCGCCGTCCCCAGCAGCTGCTCCCTCCCAGCCTGGGCAACTCAGCGAGACCCTGCCTCTAACAAACAGAGGGCTGGGGGTGCAGCTCAGCGTGAAGAGCCTCGATCAGTTCCCAGTGTGGCGAAACCCCAAACAAACGCAGAATTTCAGCCAGGCACGGAGGTGCGCGCCTGAGATCCCGCACTCTGGGAGGCTGAGGCGGGGGGATCTCAAGTGTGAACCCCGCCTGGGCTTCATACGGAGCGTGAGCCCGCGGGCAGCCTGGGGCCCACAGCGCGGTGGCGTCTGAGGGAAAACCAGGCGGGCTGGGGAGGCGGCGCGTCAGGGAGCCCGCCTGGGACCGGCTGAGCCCCGCACTCAGTGGGCGTGGCGCCCCAGGCTCTTGGGGAAGGCCCCCCTTCGGACGGACGGACGGACGGACGGAGCACCTCCTGGCCTGGAAGCAACATCGGCCGGGCGTGGTGGCGCGTGCTGTGTCTGCTGCTCAGGAGGCTGAGGCAGGAAAGTCTCAAATTTGAGCCCAAGTGGGGCAACGGATGACTTAGCGAGACCCTGCCTCAAAATAAAAAATACAAGGGCCTGGGGATGGAGCTCAGTGCAAAGGCCCTGGGTTCCATCCCCGGTCCTCCAGAAGAATGAGCAAATGAAGCAATTTAAAGATGAATAAGAACCAAGTTGCATCTTTCTTGGGTCTAAGCTATGGGTACGAATTCTGGGCCTAGGGAAAGCTGAGCCCCTTGGGGCTGGACCTGGGGCCGTGTTCCTTTTCATGGCTGTGTAATATTCCACGCCACAGGTGGGCCGCGCTTGGATTCCCCATCCATTCCTCCGTTATGGACACTGAGCTGCCTCAGTCCCTTTCCCACCGCGATATCCGCTTCACCACATCCCCCGAGCCCCGGGACATTTTGCAAACATCACCAGGACGTCCTGGCCCTTGAAGCAGCTCGGGACATAAAGTGCCCCCGTTGGACCTGGGTCTCCTCCCAGAAATGAAGGCGAGGGTGCTCACCTGTGTGTGCTGATGTTGCCTAGCCATCTCCCCCCGAACCCCAGCCTGGTTGGAACCCCTTGCCTTGGGGACCCCAGCGCTCCCGAATACCTTGCTCCGACCCCTCCGGGCCTCCGGCCCCCCCCTGCCAGGGGACAGCTCACCCTGGGGTCACAGCTGAGTCCCGTGCCGATCCTGTCCCACCTCAGCGCCTCTCTGTTGCTTACTGGAAATTCCTTCCTGAACAGAAACCGAAGCTTCAGGGCCCCGTATCCTGCAGTGGCTCCACCCGCCCGGCCGTGCCACCCAGTAGGGACGCGGGGACCGGGCTCGAGGGCCAGCCAGGCCTCCGAAGCGGCTTTCCTGGAAGGCACGTCCTCCCTTTCCAAGGCACGGCTTTCCTGTTCTCAATCTGCCACCGCCAGTTCCTGTTCCACACAATTATAACTGCCGCTCGCCGCCAGGACTTGGGCAACTTCCTGCCAGGTCTCTGGGGCTGGGGCTGGGGCTGGGGCCAGGCCCGGCTGGCTTGGCACAGGACGATGGGGATTTTCTCCTCCGTCTGACTTTTCCTCTGTACACCAAAGTGGCTGCCAGTGCCCCCTCCCTCACCACACCCATTCTCCATCAGCACCGTGCTCCTGGTTTGGTTCCCGAATCCCACCCGAACCCGGACCAATTGCCAGCCAGCACCCAGGAGCCGGGTGTTGCCGGGAGCAGGGAACAAAGTTTAGGGGCACACTCAAGGACAGGATGGGCTTGGGAGGGGACCCGTCCTCCTCCATCCTGGCCATAATCAGCATCGTGTGCTGAGCGGAGTCAGGGACACAGCCTCCCCCAGGGCTGGGGGTCAGGGGCGGAGGGCACAGCTGCGGGCCACGGGGATCCTCCTGCCTCAGCCTCCCGGGGGAGGCACGACACTCACGTGCCACCACGCCGGCCGGCCGTTCATTCCTCAGCAGGGTCCGGGGTCCCCTCCCCACCTCCCGGCCACTGCTGGATGCACCCAGATGTCTTTCTCGGGGACAGAGATGGGGCAGGGGAGACCCTGGGAACAGGACGCGAGGACACGGCTCCCCGGATGTCCGAAGTCGTCCAACCGTAGCCGGGCCCGTGAGCTTGGGGTCTTCCGGGGAGCGTGTTTATTTAAAACGCGGCCGAGCATGGGGGCGCGCGCCTGTGAGCCCAGCGCTCCGAGAGGCTGAGGCAGGAGGCTCTCAAGTTCCAGCCCAGCCTGGGCGACGCAGGGGCTTGGCGAGCCCCTGTCGGGAAATCAAAAGCCAAAGGGCTGGGATGGAGCGCAGAGCTGCGTGTCATCCCGTGCTTCCGAAAGACAAGACAGAGCCCTTTATCGGTGGGAGACGGTTTCGGACCCTGGCTCGGCCCGGGATGAACCGCAGGGCCGCTCGCTTCCTGCCTGCCTCAGGGTCTCTCCTAAAGGCCCTCACCTGCCCAGGCTGGCTCCAATCTGCGATCCTGTCTCTCCGCCTTGCGACACTCGACCTGGCGTCACTGCCACCGTGAAAGCGCTCGGCCCGCTGTGGTTCGTTATCTGCCCCTCCCAGGCCCAGCCAGGGCAAGCTGGGGATGTTTTGAAATCAAAATCCTTCTCATCTGGACCGCGGCCTCTTACGAAACGGGACCTTCTGGGCAGGTCGCTTCTGATGCACACACAGGAAGGGGCGTTGCAGGGCGCTGTGCGGTCGGTCTGCAGAGCACACGTGTTTGCGGCGTGCACTGCTCCAGTCCAACCTCCCTTCCCCCGGAGTTCCCGCTTCTGTAAATCACAGTGCTACCTTAAACGTGAGATCGTCCTGCGGACTGGCCTCTGTCCCCTCTGATAGGAACGGGGCGTCCCTGAGAAGCGTCTCAGTAAGTGGGGCCTGGTGGCGCCCGCCTGTCACCCCCTACTCGGGAGGCTCGCCCTGAGTTCCAGGCAGCCTGGGCTGGGTAGCGAGACCCCATCTCAAAAGAGAAAAAAAGCCAGCGCCAAGTGTTCAGCAGCAACAGGTCTACCACAGACCGAGCCTCGGGAGCAGAAAGCGGCCGGCACGGGCTTTTCCGAGCCAGAGCCACAGTGGACGAAAGCCTCGGCGGCCTCAGCCCCGGCACCAGGAGAAACCGAGGCAGGAGCCGCCCCAGCTGCGGCTCGGGGTCCGGGACCCTGTGGGAGCGGCGATCAGCACTGCTGTGTGCAGAGGGGCTGTTCTGCTTTCATTGTAAATTTCTGAGCGGCAAAAATACAGGGATCCTAGCGACGCAGGGAAGCTGGTGGGACCGCCCTGGGCGTGTGGCTACGGGTGCACACACATACGCGCACGCACACGCACACACCTGCGTGCACACGCGCTCATCTCACTACAGAGCTCGCCCAGAACGAACACGCACGGCTGTCTCCCCGCGGCTGCCTGCAGCTCTCTTTTCCCTTGCTCCCTGTTTGGAGACAGGGCTCTGTTAGGCAGCCCAGGCGGGCCTCAGCCCCGCAGACGCTCCCGCCTCGGCCTCCCGAGTGCTGGCTGACAGGCGGGCGCCACCGCGCAGGGCTCCCCGGTTTGGTCCCGCCCGGTAGAGGAGGAAGACACCGGGGCAGACCGGGCAGACAGAGGTTTTCTCATCTTGTTTTGTCTCACGCTGTCTTTTTCCTTCCGTCCACTCCTTTTATTTCCAGTATTTCCCAGGAACGGAACCCAGGGCCCTCGCACTGAGCTGCATCCCCAGCCCTCCGTTATTTTTCTACTCTGAGGCAGGCTCTGGCTGAGTCGCCAAGTCACCCAACTTGCGAACCCTCCTGCCTCAGCCTCCCGGGAGTGAAGTCAGGACCCCGGCCGAGACGGCGTTGTTTGTGCTGCAGCAGCGGAGAGGGAGAAAGCGGGCCTGCAGACAGGCGCTGGGGACCCTGGGCGTGGCGGGAGAATCACTGCGTCTCCCCCACCGTGAGGATGTCGTCCGTCCGGCTCCAGGTGATCCGCCGAGGGCTCAGCCTCTTTCATGGTGGCCTAGGAGGGACACACGGCGTCAGAGGGAAACGCAGCGGTGACGAAGGACAGAGCCCTTGCCCACAGCCAGGAGGCAGAAACGGCCCAGGTGCCCACGCGGGGGCGAGCGAGTGAACAGAATGAGCTCCCTCCGTGTGGGGAATATTACACAGCCGCGAAAAGGGAACAGGGAGGCCGTGTCACCTGCTACGTGGACTTGAAAGGCCCGGTCCGCTCACCTCCTGCTCCGACCTGAAGATGCCCTTCGGCTCGTCCTTCACGTGGGGCACTGGCGGGAGGAGCTGCTGCTGCAGCCCGTACCTGCCGAGGGGACAAACGGGGGACACGCTGGGACGGCATCGTCCCCAGGGGCCCCAGCATCCCGTCCCGGGTGTCCCCCGAGTGGGGGGACCAGGCACATGCTCAGGGGGGCGGGGTCCGCGTCGCGTGTCCCCGAGTGTCCAAGCACCCCAATATTAAGCCCCTCCGGGCAGGGTGAGGCAGGAGGATCTCAGCTCCGCAGCACAGGGGACATCAAAGCCGGGTCAGCGGCGCGCGGCTCCGCAGCGCCACCTCGTGGGCGGCCGTGGGACTGCAGGCTGCAGGGCGGCGGCGGGCTCGCTGAGATCCTCCTGCCTCGGCCTCCGAGTGCTGCCATTCCGGGCGTGCGCCCGTGCCCAGGCTGCTCGGGCTGCTTCCTGCCCGTTCCTTTTCCTTCGCACGTCTGTGGGTGGAACCCAGACCCTGCGCAGGGTCTCGCCGAATCGCTACGGGGCCCGAGCTGGGTCTGGAGTGGACATGCGCCTGCCTCAGCCTCCCCGAGCGCCGGCGCCCAGGCTGGGAAACCCACCTTTTGCAGACGACCGTGAGCGCCGCGGTGCACACGGCCACCGCCACCGCCGCCACCAGGGCCAGCACCTGGGCCAGGGTGAGGCTGCCGTAGGCCTGGTCCGGGCCTGGAGGGGGTGGGGGTCAGCAAGGGCCGCAGTCCGGCCCCATTCGGAGCGCGGTCGGTCGGGAGCTTTCCCGGCCCCGGCGGCTGCGGAACTCGCAGGTCAGGCCTACGCCTCGGCTCAGCTCGGCTCGGCTCGGGCTCGGCTCGGTTCGATTCGGCTCGGCTCAGCTAGGCCTCGGCTCGGGCTGGGGACCCCGGGCGCATGCGTATGCTCACCGACGCCGCGCGCCGGGCTCCAGTCGCTCCACACCGCCCCGCGCACGTGGCGTACGCGCACGCGCACCGAGCCCCCCGCCACCAGCGCATGCGCGTTCCGCTCCCGGCCCCGCTGGAAAACCTGCGCGGAGGACTTAGCTCCCAGCACCCGGCGTGCAACCCGAGCGCTGGGTGCCGGCACGGGCTGCCCCCCGCTGCGTTTCTGGTCCCTGCACCTGCGGGGACCTTCAGCCCCAACCCCACCTCCCGCAGACGCCCGGGAACGGGAGCCGGGACAGGAGCGGCCCGGGCCAGCTGGGTGCTCGGTCCCGGGGTGACCCAGCGATTGATCGCAGGGCCGGGTGCGCCCCAGCGCGCAGGACTCGGGCTGGGAACCCCAAGAGCCACAGGAAAGTCTCCTCATGAGAAGGAGCCGGGTGCGGAGGCGCGCGCCTGGGACCCAGCTCCCCGGGAGGCTGAGGCAGGAGGGGCTCCGGGAGCCGAGCGAGGACCCCCAGGGCGGCAGCCGGGCGGGGCGCGGGCACTCACGGGCGGTGCCTCGGCCTCGGCGCCCTGTGGGAGGGAGACGGAGCGGTGGCGGGCGGGCCATGCAGTCGCCTCCTCGCTGCCCCCGGCAGTGGCCGCAGGCCCGCAGCCTCCTGGGAGCGCGGTTTCCCGGAACATCGCCATTGTTCCCGTTCCGCCCCGGTCCTCGGTGCTGGGACCCGGTCCGGAGCCGCCGCCCAGCCCAGCCCAGCCCAGCCCAGCCCAGCCCAGCCCAGCCCTTGTAGTTCACGTTTTCTCCCGCCAGACCCGCCGGGCCGCAGCCGGAGAGAGCTCGAGATCGCCCGCCTGCGCCTCCGCCTCCGCCTCCGCCTCCGCCTCCCGGCCGCCGTACCCGCCTGCGGACGTCCAGCTCGCAGTACAGGGTGCTCGGGCTCTGCTCGAACCTCCGCGCCGGGTTGTCCCAGCCAGCACACGACGAGGCCCGGGCCCGCGGGGCCGACCGAGCCGTTGGCGGGAGGGCTCTACTTCTCTGTCCCCCGCACAAACCGGAACACGAACAGGCGGAAGCGGCCGCGGCCGCGGAGACGGAAATGACCCAGCTCCCAGGACCCCCGGCCCCAGGCTGGCTTCCTCGGCCGTTCCGAGGCAGAATCTCGCTCGCTGTGCAGCCCACCCGGGCCTTGAGCTCACGACGTGGCCCAGGCTGGCTTCCAATTCGGGGAGATCCTCCTGCCTCAGCCTCGCGAGTGCTGGGATCACAGGCGTGCCCACCGCGCCCGGCTGATCTTCCTGCCCCTCGTGGGACCCCAGGGAGACCGGTGGCCTCTCCTCCTGTCCCCGTGGGGATTTTCCACCGCACACTGCCCCGGGGCGGAAGCAGGAGAGGCTGAAGCAGGCAGCGATGGTCTCACCGATCAGAAAGGCCACAAAGGGCGGCGCGTCCAGGAACGGGATGGTCGCCTCGCCGCTGGTGCCGTGGACCAGGAAGAAGGAATTACCCAACGTCTTGGGCTCCCGGCCGAGCTGGGTGAAATGGCAGCCCACGCGCAGCCCCTTTGAGTCCAGGGAGTAGTGGAGGCATTCGGCCTCGGCGTCGTTCCTGGAGGGCCCAGAGGGCCGCGCAGAGTCAGAGAAAACCAGAGAGGGTTTGGGGCGCGGGCCCTGAACCCGAAAACAGCCCCTTGCAAGGCTGGGGTGCTTGGCTGTAAGAAGAGCAGCCCAGTTTTGTTTACTTCCGCCCAGCTTGCTGCTGTTGACAGGGCACAGAACCAGGCTTTCGGGGCGCGCCCGTCATCCCAGCACTCGGGAGGCCGAGGCAGGACGACTTCCAGCCTTGCCTGGGCCACCGAGTGACTCGGCGAGACCCTGTCCGCCAATAAAAACACCAACAGGCCGGGGCTGGAGCTCGGCCGGCAGCTGTGAGTTCCAGGAGCACATTTTTAAAAAAGAAAGGAAAGGAGAAAAAGTAAGATAAAGAAAATGAAACTGCGAGACCCACTGGGCAGGCGCGGGTGAATTATCTTCCGGCCGTGTTCTTCGTGGGGTTTGGTTGCGTGCGCGTGCATGTGTGTGTGTGCGCGCGCGCGTGTTTTCATTAGTAAATTTTTGATTTTTCGGCACTGGGCGTGGAGCCCGGGCCCTTCGCCCTGAGCTCCGTCCTTGGCCGCTTCTTATTTCTCATTTTGAGACGGGTCTGGCTGAGTTGCTGGGTTGCCCGGGCTGCGTCGGAAGGTGGGATCCTCCTGCCTCAGCCTCCTCGCAGCCGAGGGGACAGCCGGCCGCCCCACACCGCTGCCTGCTCCTGCCGAGCGGTGACTTCCTCTCAGATTCCTCTCGCTGCATCCCCACCTCCCCGGTCCCTGGTCACCTCCACTTTCTTCTCGGCTTCTGGCTTCCACATTTTTGGCCTCCGCCTGTGACCAGCACCGCTCAGTACTCATCTCCCACACCTGGCTTATGGCCCTGAGCACCACAAGCTCCGCTTCCTGCCGTGTTGTTGCACAGCCCTGAACCCCTTCCCTGTTTGTGGCTGTATAGTATTCCATCGCATTCTCTTTACCCGTTCCTCTGTTAATGGACACAGCAGTGGACTCCACGTCTTGGGTGAATTGTCTCCAATCCGCACCCCTTTATTTCCTGTCCACCCAGGGACCCGAGATGGCAGCCCCCTGTCCACCCCACTTGTCCGGCCTGGGCCACCCCATCCCGCCCCACGGTGCCCACTCACGGGTCGAACCAGAACAGCTGGTAGACGGTGTCCACGGGGGCTGTTTGGCCCGGCGCCCAGCTGCAGTTCATGGCGTGCACGTCATAGATGATGCAGGACAGGTTGGCGGCGCCGGCCCCGGGGCCTGCCTGGGATGCAGCGACCAGGGCCTCAGCGGCGCGGCACGGGGCCAGATCCTGGCCCCTGGCCCCCCGGGCCCCATGTCACCTGGGTTGTCGAAGCGCAGGGTCTCCTGGAAGGTGGCGTTGCCCATGGCGGCGTGGACCTCGAAGACGGCCCCGCGGTGCAGGACCGAGTTGGGGAAGGAGCAGAAATACGTGTCTTCGTCCAGCGCCTGGAAGACCACGGAACCGCCCTGCCTCAGCCCACGTGGCGCACGCCTGTCACGCCAGCACTCTGAGAGGCTGAGGCGGGAGGATCTCATGTTCCAACCTGGCCCGGGCAACTCAGCCACATGGCAAGGCCCTGGCTCAAAATAAAAACAGCAACAGGGGCTGGACATGGGGCTCAGTGCGAAGGGTTCTATAAGAGTCTGGAAATTTCTAGAGGTTCCTGGAAAGTCCCGGGCTCTTCTGGAGGTTCTACAAGATTCTAGAAGCCAGGCCGGGAGTTCGCTCAGTGGCGCCATGCCTGCCTTGCAAATGCAAGGTCCCGAGTTTGATCCCCGGTACCAGAAAGATAAAAGGCTTGCCCGGGATTTAGCTCAGTGGTTCCGGTGCCTGCCTCATAAGCACAAGGTCCCGAGTTTGATCCCCAGTACCAAAGGAAAAAAAAGGAAAAGATAGGAATGGAAGCCCGAGTGGGGATTGGCAGAAATGTGGAGATTTACAAGGTCACGGTGAATCTCTTCTGTCGCCCAAGGGAGAAGCACAGTTGTGGACGAAAAGCCAGGTCAGGTTCGGACACTGTGACCCTAAACAGGAGCGGGAGAAGCAGGGTGCGTGGACATTTTAGGGGGAAAATTGTTCCTTTCAGACAATCTCACCACGCAGCCCAGGCTGGTCTGGAACTCCCAGGGATCCTCCTGCCTCAGCCTCCCGAGTGCCAGGATGACAGGTGTGCGCCCCCACGCCTGGGTCAGAGGTGATATTTTTTTAAAGAGCAACTTCATTGAAAAAAATATAGAAAAAAGCTCAAAACGCCCTTCCCACAAGTGGAATTCTCACGCCTAGAAATGAAGAGCACGCAGAGGAAGTGAGGGGACTTTCCGGACAGGTGGACAAGCGCGGAGAGAGGAAAACCTCGCAAGTCCTGGGTGCGGAGTCTGAGGACCTAAGCGCGGGGCCTTCCGGGTGGTTTCTAGGGTCGAGCCAACATTCCCCGCGAAAACTCCTACAGCGGAAACCATAAGGTCTGAGTTCGAGCCCCAGGACCGAAAAGAAGAGAAAAGAAACGCAAAGAAGAACGGGAGGAAAAGGATCGCGAAGTGCCCGAGGATCAGAAGCACGGAGGAGAGACACGGAAGCCCCGCAGCCTCAGGGCCCTTCGCTGCTCCTCCCTCCGGGCCTCCGCCGTGCGAGCGAGCGGGGTGCAGAGCAGGAGGGAAGCAGGAGGGAAGCAGGAAGCCGGGGCCGGCAGGCAGCGGGCGACTCGGGCCCAGGCCGCAGCTCAGGCTGCCGGATGCAGGGTGAAGGAGGCGTCCAGCAGCAGGGGCGGACGGGGCTTTCTGGGCCTCTGCGCGCCCCAAGCCAGGCCCGCGCCCCAGGCCCCACCCGGACCCCGCTTCACGGCCCTCTGCAGCCCCTGGCTCTGCCCCGACCGACCGACCGACCGACCGACCGACCGACCGGGCCACAGCCGTGGAGACGCGGACAGCCCCCCAGTGCGCCGCTCCGCAGCCTTCTGGTCCCGCTCGCTCTGCTCCTCCTCTCTTTCTCTGGCACCGGCACCGGCGTTCCAACGCAGGACCTCGCGTTTGCGGGGCAGGCAGCGCTGAGCGCCCCCCGGCCCAGTCTCGTCCCCCTTTGAACTGCGCGCCCGGCCCCACAGAGCCCCTCCTCCCCTCCCAGACCGGGGGACACCGGGCCGAGCCCAGGCCCCAGCCCAGCCCCAGGCTCACCCTGGGCACAGTGCGGGTGGGCGGGCGCCCCGGGGCGTCCAGAGCGCAGGCCCGAGGGCTGGCCGGGCTCCGGCAGGCAGCTCCAGGTCAGCACTTTGAGCCTCGGTTGCAGCTGCAGGTGGGAGATGGGGGAGCCCCGGTCCTGAGCCGCCCCTGCAAGGGACACAGCCCGGGATCGGCTCTCAGCACCCACCACCCAGATGCAGCACCCAGCACCCAGATGAAGCACCCAGTACCCAGCACCCAGACCCAGCACCTAGTACACAGACGCAGCACCCAGCACCCAGATGCAGCACCCAGACGCAGCACCTAGCACTCAGCACCCAGAGGCAGCACCCAGTTCCCAGCACCCAGATGCAACACCCAGCACCCAGAGGCAGCACCCAGCACCTACCCAGAGTGGCATCTCCCGAGCAGCTGGTCACCTGCAGAAGGACCAGGAGCCACAGCAGCCCTGGCACAGGGGCCACGTGGGGGCCACGAAGCTGGAGGTAAAACTGAAGATGAGGCAGGGGTTGGGGTGAGCTGCAAGCCAGCAGGAGCTGTCCTGCCTCGGCCTGTCCCCGAAAACCACCTCCGGTCTGGGTCTCCCTTCCTTCCTTCCTCTCCAGGGCGGAGATGGAACCTGGCCACACCCTGCCCTCGAGCTCCATCCCAGTGCTTTTGGTGCTTTCCTTTGACACCGCAGACCTGACCAGTTGCACAGGGCAGACTGGAACTTGCAGTCCTCCTGCCTCAGCCTCCCGAGTAGCTGGAATGGCTGGCGTGTGTGCATCTCCGCCCCGGGCTACGACCTGGCAATGGCTCCATGCACCCGCCGACCTAGACCCCCCACCCCTTTTCAAATTTTCATGTTTGGAGACAGGGTTTTCCTAAATTGCTCCTGAATTTCCCAGGTGCAGGTCAGGCTTGGGATCCTCCCGCCTCAGCCTCCCTAAAGTGCTGGGGTGGCAGGCATGTGCCCCTGTGGCTGATGGCTATGTGGATCGTGCAAGTGTTTTCTTGAGGCTTCGTGGCATTGATATCGGAGGGAGAGGGACAGAGACACAGAGAGACGGAGAGAGGACTGAGAGAGACATGCAGAGGGAAACCTGCCACCCCAGCACTCAGGAGGCTGAGGCAGGAGGGTCTCCACAGCTTCCAGGCCAGCCTGGGCTCCACAGTGAGACCCTGTTTCTGACTCCCAATACACAACCCCAGGGCTGCATTTCCCTGAGCCCTGCTGCTCCGCTTCTCAGAGCCACGGAAGCCCCAGACCCCCTGAGGTGTGGAGGGACCCACTTACCCTGCGGCCCATCCTGGGGGTCCTGGCCGGGCCGGAGAGGCAGCTGCCTGCGACCTGCAGCACCAGGCTCTGTGCGGGGTGGCGGCCGGCAGGGGCTGGGGCGTTGGAGAGCTCGCTCGTCGTGGAAAGCGGGTGACCGCGCAGATGGCAGATGATGCACCCTTCCTGCATGGCGGGCCGGCCCGAGACCCGGTCTCCCTGTGGCGCTGAGCTGCCGGCTGGACTGGAAGGCGAGATCCTCCTGCCTCAGCCTCCCAGAGCCAAGAGGAGACCGGCCCGCCTCTGAGCATGGGCTCCCTCACCGCTCCCACCCTGCTGTTGTCTGCATCCCCCGTGATTCCCTGGCCCTGAGGGGTCGCCACCCCACGAGGCTTATTTTCCCAGCACAGGTGGCTTCCGGTCCCATGGCCCCTGGCTCGCCAGGAGGGGGATCTGGGGTCCCCCGGGGGGGTCTGGGGTCTCCCACGGCATCTAGGGGTCCCCTGGGTCTGATTCTCCCGTGACACCCAGGCCCCGTGTGAGCTTTGATGCTGCGTGGGAGCGGCGGGTCACTGACTCAGCCCCACTCGGCCGGCCACGTCCACACCCCGATGCCGGCTGTCCAGCAAGACGGGGCCCGGCCGCCCTCAGGGGCTCAGCTGGGCGGGTGCCCCACGCGGTGCCACAGCCCAGGAGGAGCCTGGGGACAGGGCCGCCAGCCGAGTCCAGGTCACGGAGCTGTAACCCCAGCTGTAACCACAGGAGGCTGAGGCAGGAAACTCTCAAATTCAAGCAAGTTTATTTTCAGGGCTGCAGTGGCCCGGGTGGCAAAGCAGACAGACGGGAGATGGGCAGCCTGCACAGGATGCTCTCTGCGAAGGGAGGGCCGAGCAGGGCAGCTGTCACCGACTAATCGACGCCCCGGTGACATCCGCCCGCCCCGGCCCCCTCAGACAGCTGCCTGCCCCAAACTCCTACTGAAGTGCCAGGGACTGACGGCCTCACTCCCAAGGGCAAGCAGTCTGCTTAAGAGGCTCGGGAGGCAGGAAGGGCGGAAGGGAACCAGAAGTGGGAAGTTCGGGAAGAAGCCTTTTCCTGGGAAGAAGCCTTCTCCTGGCAGCACCCGCCAGGTGGCTTGCGAGCCGCTGCACCTTGGGCCGGACGTGTTTTCTTCCCCTGGAACTGTTGGTCACGGAGCGCTCTCCCCATCCAGGCTGCCCCAGGGCGAACATTGGCAAGAACGCCAGGGCCAGGGCACTTCCCTGTCACCCCGCGTGTGTCCCCAGAGCAGCTCCGCATCTGGCCACCCGGGGCCTTAGACCCCTGAGCGGAAGCCAGGGCTTTTATTCTGAAGGGGGTCTGTGATGGCAGCATTCTGGGCCCCGAAGCAGTTCGCAGGAGATGCCGCAGAGCAGAGAGAGACGACAAGGCACGGCAGCCCCCAGTCACACAAGGGACCCACAATGGGACAGGGGTGTTGGGAAGGGAAGACGGCGCGGGAGAAGGTGACCGCCCACTCCCCCTCCACGCTCTGCCTGCATCCCCACGGGGCTGCCTGCACAACCTCTCCCCCATCCTGAGCCCGGTCTGGCTCTAGGACTCAGTTTCCCCTTTCATAAGAGGTCCCCAGCCACCTAGGACCTGTTCCCAAATGTGGCCGTGTTCTCAGTCACCCAGGGCTGGGGAATAAAGGTGAGGCAACCTAAATAACAGCAGGTAGAGGGAGGGAGGGAGGGAGGGAGGGATGAGTGGGTGGGTGGATGGGTGGATGGGTGGGTGGATGGGTGGGTGGACGGATGGGTGGTTGGGTGGATGGATGGATGGGTGGATGGATGGGTGGACGGTTGGGTGGACGGTTGGGTGGACGGATGGGTGGTTGGGTGGTTGGGTGGATGGATGGGTGGATGGATGGATGGATGGGTGGATGGGTGGGTGGTTGGGTCGATGGGTGGGTGGCTGGATGGGTGGGTGGATGGGTGGATGGGTGGATGGATGGATGGACGGATGGGTGGATGGGTGGGTGGATGGATGGGTGGTTGGGTCGATGGATGGGTGGATGGGTGGGTGGATGGGTGGATGGGTGGTTGGGTGGATGGATGGATGGATGGGTGGATGGATGGGTGGTTGGGTCGATGGGTGGATGGATGG